AATAAAATTTAATTTATTAGTTGGTTTTATTTCATCTATTAAATTTTATTTAACACATGGTAAATTAATTAATATATTTACATTAGTTATTAACATATTTAATTAGATAATTTTAAACTCTATTTAATTTAAAAAATATGTGGACATATATATGAGATTACATAAATATTTTACATACTGTTATTGCAATTTTGGTGAATTGTAGACTTTTTTAAGAGTCGACTCTTCTCCATAAAGAGTGGATTCTTTAGCTATAAGAGTCAACTCTAATCTGCAGAAGAATATTCACAACTCTATGAAATTTGGGAGTCGAATTTTGACCATCTATAGTCAATTTTTGAAGGCTTGAGAATCAACTTTATTATTTTAGATTTGACTCTTTAATACCAAAGAGTCAACTCTATTTTTATAGATTCGACTCTTACCTGGAGTAGGAGTTTTTGGGCGTTGAACGCATAGTATCGACACTGTAGATTATAATGTGAATTACGTGTCGACACTTCACCCGTGTCGGGTTTCTAGGCTTTCTACAATTTCTTCAATGGTAAAATTGCAAAATCTGGTCCTCTATATTTTGTACGATGATCACTTAGATCCAAAAACTTAAGATTCATTCATTTAGGTCCCAAACAAGCACCTTTCTTCTTTCAACTCAGTCCCTCAACTTTTAAAAGATATTCAATTAATGTCAAAAACTCTTACTATTATGCATTGACAATTCAGAATGATTAAAATGATTATATTTAAATTAATTTGTAATTTTTAAAAAATTAATTTGTATATCTAAATTTTAATCTATTAGTTAAATTTCTTTAATATATTAAATTTTATTTAACACTTGACTCATTAATTAATATAATTATATTATTTATCTCTAAAATTTAATTTATTAGTCATAAAAAAAAAAGGGGAAAGAAGCAAGCAAAATTGACTCGTTTGTTTTGACAAGATAGCCAGCTCCGTGAGATGCATCAGACTTCCATAGATAAACATTGAGTAATTGTTAGATGGTGGTATCCCACACCGGAAGTGAAAACCTCTTATGTCATTTTATTTTCCTACGACAATACTAATCTCATCCTGGTTAAATTTTATTTTAATTTGTTAATAAATTTATCATACAAAAAAGTATTTTTTAGTTTACGTTGTATTTTTTTTTTTTGCAATTTAAATATTAAAATTATTTAAGTATCTTTAATAAAATTGTTCTTTAAATTTATTCATTAATAATATTTTTATATTTTCAATATTAAAACTACATAAAAAAAATAATTTGTAGAGAAATCACCTTTTTTTATCTTTCTATTCGTTTA